ACGCTTGAGAAACACAAGAGCACAGAAGACTTAGCCACTAAGAAAACTCCACTGGACATTAAGTTACAATAATTTAGATCTGTTCATTTATGGTAAGTCAGCCATTTTACTGTTGACCTACTTTGCATCAGTAATAATTTGTCACAGTGCATTCTCCAACTGCTACTGAAAGAAAGGTTGAAACCATACATTAAGAGCATAGTGTCAAAGCAACTGATGTTAATTATACCCTGCAATTCCTATGTTGATGAAATTGTCACTGCTAACCATTAATACAGCATTTACTGTCTAAGCCCAGCTTGCTCTACCAACCTTTGAAAGCCACTGAATTAACATCCTGCTTCACAATGTTCACTTTATGCCACACTGGAATGTAAATCTGAAACATGTAAAAATAACCTCCGCTATTACACCAAGAATGTGTAAATATACATTCCTTTTTAGGAGAGCTATTTATCTCCAGTCTATACATGTTTCACTCCTTAAACTAAAAACAGCTTTAATGTTCTTCAGTCAAGTGGCAGCTTTTGCCAATATAAACTATTTTCCCTAAAAATTATGGCATCAAGTAGAGGAAACTTTGGAAAAATGTAGAGTGCTACTTGATTTATGGAAATTTAGAAATAAATTTTACATACACAAAAAAGAAAAGCAGCAATGTTCTTCATTTTATTCATTGCTAACCTGCACAATAACGAGAGATCATAGTCTCCCAGCATAAGTAAGCAAGGTTAATTAGAAGGACACCTTATACAGATTTAGTGTTCATGCTCGGTGACATCTGCTTAATTTGGTGACAGAAATGTTTACAAGCATCAGCACAAACCAACCACTTCAGGAGCATTAACTGGATTCCTCATGGTTTGCACATCAGTAAACTGTTTTGTCAGGTTCTGCTGCTGCAGTACAGTTTCCCCTGCTTCTAAATCGTCTCTCAAGCTACTCTTCTACCCATTTAAATTGAAGGCAGCTGAGAGCATACGAGCTTAACATTATTTAGCCTTCAGAATTGCCGTCACTAGCTATGACAGGAGAGCACAATTTGATCTTCTGGTCCAAGAAGTCTTTTTAGTGACGAATAGGAGAGAGTTTTTTATCCTATGAACTGATTCAATACGAGATACAAGAAAAGTGGAAGCTGGTTGATGGCATTTTCAAATCAGAAGAGTGCCTCACGTAAGTTATTTCCAAATTCTCATGTAGACTGCTAGAACAAACCAATAATGAGAAAATCCCATGGCACGATGAGGCCTGTCATACAGATCTACCAGAAAATCTTTGCAGAGCCAGCAGAAAAGCAGAAAACTAAAATCAGCATTATTCGTAATTGAATGAAAGTCCTCACATCTCTATTCAGGCCTAAGAATGACTATAAGATGTACAGGAAGAAAAATATCATGGTGCAAACAACTGCTTAAGTCAGATGTACATCTCCAGAATAAGCAGGTAAAAACCACACGACTGGAAAGAGAACAGAAGAACAGAGATTCTCACAGGATACATATAATACAACTCTCTATAGGAGTAGCATCGTTACCAAACATTAAATACAAAAGTAAACTCGAGTGCATAAGATCTGATACCACACATGGCACAATGGCAGGGCATGCTGTGAGAAAAAGAAACATTTGCTCACCTGGCGTAAAGGAGAAGGCAACTGTATACTTTATAAAGACATTCAACAAATGGTCAAGTCTTAGCAGACTGGTCCGTCAGTCTAAGAAGAGCTGTAACATTAAAGCTGTGTACAGCTGAGCATGCCCTCAGAACACCAACAGAACAACAGGATTATTCAGTGCTTCACAAGGAAAGTCCAACCAATTTAACTAACATGCACTGGTCAAGCAGGTCTCAAATGTGCTCTCTCTCGTCTCTAATATTTGCATTAAAATAAAAGCCTTGCTGGTTTTATAATGGCACCTTAAATGAAATTCAAAAGGGGGAAGCATTTAGCTTAGTGCACTGTTTGTTCTACGCGCACCAAAACACAGGATTGGGAACAGCCTCCTCTTAGAGACGTACTCCATTCCTCTCAGGAGCCCTTCCTATGCCCTGCTGCCACAGTATGCTAAGTACTTTCAAAAATCAGACAAGGGCACATTGTGTGCACATTGGGGTATATTTAAATTCCAGCTGGAAGAAATCCCAACAACTCTGAGGACACAGGTTGTACCAATTACTAGTTACAGCTGCAGTTAAAAATTATGCCATGAATGAAAGCACCCTACCGTAAAAGGACTAAAATGTTAACCATCCAAGGGAGCAGGCTCTTTCTTGGTTCAGTGTCACATGTCAGCCTCACAGATGGAATACTTGCTGCCTCGTAAAGCTATGCTTAACTTACCAAAAAGAAAGTACCAACAGCTGATGCCTTCATAACATGCATGGCTCATGGCAAAGACCAGCTATACTGCTACCCTTTCTGAAGCTGCTCTTACTGTGCAGCAGAAAAAGACTATAGGCAGCATCATGATACGCCAAGCACAGCTCAGTCAGCAGTGAGCTTCATGAAAGTTTAATACCGCTTTACAGGAAGCCAACCTCAATGTCTTTCTTTCTTTTTGGATATATTTATGTTGTCTGTGGACAGGTAACAACAGAAATGCCTTCAAATACCCCTACTGCTTGAATAAACCTCTTGCTTACAGACCTAACTTGAATGCACCATCTTAAAAGTAGTAGAATTTTTAAGGTATCATCAAGATGTGAACCTAAACTTTGACTCTACACGAGTAACACCTGTACTTCAAAGCAAGCTCATTCTGAAGCTTTGGTAATAGATCTGTTATTGCCAGATCCAGATACTGAGCAAGCTCTTTAAAGTCCATTGCTTCAGGAGCACTCGTGCTTCCACCAGTCTATGCCAGAAGCCATAGTACTGGAGAAGTCCTAGCAATATTTTAAAGTGCTGAATGTTGACATACATATAGCATGGTAAAAATAGTATTTGTAAAGCTGAACTTTCAAAAAAAACAGCAGGAAAGAAACTGATAAAAAAAGCAAGACAGTTCAGTCATATGTTCTGCTTATCTATAATCAGTCATATTACAGATCAGAAGGCCAAGATATGAACTGAAGATAACAACTCATTACTATCACCACACTGTAAACGCTCACAGTTGAGCGGAAGCTGCCACAATGTATGGCAAGTCTGAAGCTCAGTTCTATCCACAGCTAGCAAGTTCAGTGGGCAAGTAACGATCATTTTCTTTTCCTTCAGAACAACAGCAGTTCTCGTAACTGAAGTGACCAAGTTGGGTAGGCCTTTTATTACACAGAACAAAGTACACTGGAGATAAGGAACAGAAAGTTCTTGAGCTTTACTCCAGCACTTTAACAAGTGTAAATAAAGGGGTAAGGAATTTCTCTCAGGTGTAACCACTGTGCTGTATACAAATGACATTAGTGTGGTGCTTAAGTGAATCACATCTCCACATCATTCATTAACTTTGAATACACATATATGGGGTTCTCACTTTGCCTCAACCAACCTTTTAAGTTTGGGAAAAAAGATCTACATACCTTTTGTTGAATCCCATCTTAATGATTTCTAAAGTGAAAGTCTTGCATCTGAAGAAAGCAAAAGGCGAGCAACCTTTCTGTAGAGTGGTTAACCTGCTCTTAAGCCTAAGGGACACTTGTCCCAGAAACTCTTAGTGAGCAGGGAATCCATCAGGGAAGAACTGAGAACTTGTGAGCAAGTAGGTCAAAATGGACATTTAGGTTTGCTATATCCTTCATCAGGAAGCCAAGTAAACTTTAATCCTCTGGATTTATTCAAGTCATCTTTGATGGATGTTATTTCTGTACCTTTTCCTCATATCCTTGAATTATTTGCCCTGGAGTTATTTCCACATTGACTGATTTTAAAAGGTTTAAAGTGACATGTACATCATTGTGTTTCCCTAAACTGCCCAAGCATTTATATATGAGATCTTCATTAATCCACGTCTGTACCAAATGCTCCCTAGCATCAGGGTGCCATTGATGTTCTTAAGCCTTTATAGTACCTATTTCATCTCTACTGTGAGACAAAAATAGTTTAACTGATCCTATGTAATCACGACAAGAGATTAATTAAAATGCCAAGATAGGAAACAATTTATTATAGAGAGAAGAAAAATTTCTCATCCAAAATATAGAAATCTGTACAACTTTGCCACAATCAATATACATGAACTGTACAAATTTACACCAGTTCATAATTTACCAAATAAAAGATGACTAACAAAGTTCACAAAATAGATGGTGGTTTGTGGAAAAGACTTTTACCCAATTAAGAACAAGGAAATTACAAACCAGACCTCCACTTTCTAAAAATAAGAAGTTTACTCAGTCTTAGAAAACTACAAGCTAGCAAATGTACAGATAGCTGGCTGGTGCTAACACCACAGTTCAGACAGTGTCTTTATATGGTCTTTTTAAAGCCTGTTGCCATGGCAGATTCTGATCACTTGCTACTTTTGAGGCCAATGTAAGGATCTGACCATTTCCCCAGGTCATACTTACTAGTTTATCTTATGTACATTTATACATATTTGTAAGTGCTAGGTAAAAGTCTGAAAAATAAAATTTCCAGTACTATGGTGTTCATAACAATAAGTCTTGTTACTGAGCTGCCAAAAATGCTAACAATTAATAAGTGTAATAGTGCAAATTTACTCTGCAAGGCCTACTGCAGAGAATCACTTTATAAATACAGATTCGGGTTGAAAATTGGTGTAGAAATTAAGTAAGATGTCTTGGAGAAACTGACCCTTCCTAGATCTTCTTCACTTCCTAGCAAGTTGCAAACATTTTGACTCACAGGCTATTAAATCACTGAAAGGTACTGTCCAAACTATGGCACTGTCACTTTAAAGTATACCACTCTAACGTGTGCCAGATCTTCACAGCTGTGACATGGTTTAAATTCCATAATCCATCCCCAGAGGTGCCCACCCAAAGTAAAAACCAAATTTATCCATCCATTTTAAGGTGATCCATCCACAGACTATATCTTAACCTGATACAGTCATCATATTGTAGCTTTTGGAAGGGCTAGTTCTGCCCAAGAGAAGTTCCTCCTTACAGCTTATTCTGCTGTCTACCATTTGCATGTTGGTGTTATTTTGGCTACCTCCTGCTGGTGCAGCTTCATACAGCACACAGATTGAGCCATCCTCTCCAATACGATAGGACACTTCATACGGGTCAACCCATAGAGTGAGTTCGCTCGGAAGAAGCTGGAACAGTTCCTGACTGCTCAATCCAATCCGCTGTGCTGCCTGTCCAATGAGAGGATCCATTTTATGGTTGATCCGGATACATCGGTAACCTGATCCCTTGCATGGCTTTTCTGGGAACCAGTGGTGTTTATAATGTTCTATAAAATAAAAAAAAAAAAGAGATTATCCTCCTTAATTCTGTATTCAAAAATACGTACAGTGATCATTGTTCTCTTGCAAGTTTCACATATCAAGATGCTGAAAAGCTTACTATTTTAGCATCAAGTGACCTGAAAAATCATTATAGCCTTTATTTTTGCTGATGATTTACCAAAGTGCAGTGCCGCTTGGGAAGTACTCATGGACAAAGTTACTGTTTCAAGCTACCATATACAGAGAACAATGTCTGCCATCTGAAAGGAGTTAAATGCAACTTGCTGGCATTTATCGAAACCAACATAAAAATACAGAAGGGATTACACACATAGCAGAAAAAACTCAAGGGCTTCAAAACTCCACAAACGAAGAAGGAAAAAAAAGCACCTTTCCAGCACCCTCTTGAGATCACACCCATGCTTAGTGCCTCACATTCTAAGAACACCCAAAAATAACTAGGGAAGGAGCTGGGCAGCATTTACCGACTGACTCAAGCCGTATTTCACCACTGCTCTTCCCAGCCTGTTTTCCATGGCAAGATACCAATGACTTCACTTACCTTTGAGTTTTATCCCACCCAAAACCCTGTCGGTCAGAGGCTACTTGTAGCTACTATCAAGCACACTGGGACTCAGGCTCGGGATTGCAACACCCACAGGGCAGCGAAGAAACCCTCGGTATTTGATCCTAACCGGTGTTGTCGGGTGGCTAAGAGATGTTTCCAGAAAAAAAGGGAACTGAGACTCATCGTCCACCGCTGAATTTTACTTGACCAAATTAAAAAAAAACAAACCCAAACCCCACTTCGGAGCATTTTTCCTTCTGGAAACCGGGCGGTTCGAGCCCTTGGAGCGGAGCCCGAGTCCAGGCTGCTCCCAACGCTTTGTCTACAGAGCCAAAGGGGGGGGCTCCCTGCGCGACGCCTGAGCCCCCTTT